CTTCACTGGCTGCTCCCCATTCCCCCTCCCCACATTGGCTGCTCCCAACTCCACACCCCCATTGGCTGCTGCACACTCTCCTTTCCCCGACTGCTCCCTACTTCTCCCCTTTGCTGGCTGTTCCTCACTCTCCCCTTTGTTGGCTGCTCCCAAAAAATTAAAGGAACATGGCCATTTAACTGTTGCAACAAAAAGTACTGTGCCAGCACACTCTCAACACATTAAATATGATTTTCCAATTGGACAACATTTGCTGGATAATCCCACACATGAAGAATTACGCTGACAAACAATTTCAGATCATCAGTGAGGAATGCTTGCATGTACTGGAAGCTACATATGTTAATACACAGGGATATGTGCTTCGTAGATAGAAAGAACATGAACGCACACTTTGTGTGTGTCAACGCAGCTAAATAGGTGACAGCTATTCACTGATTCATTTCACAGGGCAATGCCTTGACCAATCAGACTCATCATGCCTGGTTTTACATTTAAACAAAGCTTGGCAATAACTGTCATAATCATTAACTGGTGCATTCTCCATACCAGCCCCTTTGCCAATCAGAATCCACTGGCCAGCCAAACAGCCCTCTTCTTACAAGTATAAAAGTATATAATTTGGTTGGTACAAAAGTTAGTATCCCTCTCACATTAACGTTCTTGCAAATTGGTTTGATAAAATGTTTCAACAAAAAAAGCATCCTTTTACAGCAATACATGAGATCTCTACTGCCAAAAGACTATAATTTATAAAATACAGTTTGTTATTGTTTATATATTTCTACCAGTTTAATTACCTGTTTTGAATCATGCTCAATTCTTAGTGCTTTCACATCCCTCAGCTTTTCAGAAGAAAATTTGTGTTCGGTGTCCTCCAATAGAGGGCGGTCAAATGTTTCTCTCTGAAGTTTGAGATCTCAATGCTACAAATATCTTGCAGCGATTTGTTTACGACAAGAAAAGGAAGGGTTTCGGATTTCAAAGCAAAGGAGTGAGATACAAGCAATACAGAAATTATGTAACAAATCTTCTGGGTTAGAATCAACAGGGTGTTTACTAAACAATGACAGAAATTGTACAGGGCATTATTGAAACCACAATTAGAGTATTTGGCCTCATTATTTAAAGACGAAGGTATATGCATTGAAGGCATTTCAGAGAAAGGTTACCAGCCTGGTAGGGAAAGGAGAAGTCTGATCCTGCTGAATGGTTTCCTAAGCAGACTGTCAAAATCATTTGGCATTTTGCCTCATTGCAAGAACTTTCCAACAGGCACTAAGACGTAGCTGGATGGTGTTGAGAGGGCATGAGTCATCAGATCTCTCCTGCATACCAGGACTCTGTTCCAAGATACGCTGCCCTCAAGATAACTGCAGTGGTGAGGAGATCATTGGACATCTCCTTCTGGAATATGCCTTTGCAAAGAAGCACTGGAGAGACTTAGCTAACATCATCAGTGTGCCTCCAGTGAAGCATCGGTGTTCTCTCCCACTTGCTATTAAGTGTCTCGGTTTGCTGGATTGGATGGCATCACTTCCAGATTTGTTTCTTAGTGGTTGGTATATGGGGTGCTCTGGTTTCCTACCACAGTCCAAAGATGTGCAGGTTGGATAGATTGCCCATGCTAAATTGTTCATAGTGCCCAGAATGTGTAGGTTACATGGATTAGCCATGGGAAATGCAGGGACAGGGCAGGGATATAGCTCTTCAGAAGGTCATTGTGGACTTGATGGGCTGAATGGCCTGCTTCCACACTGCAGAGATTCTACAATTTCTCTAGCAAATGATCTGCTGTTATAGGACACAATGAACAAACGCAATCTAATTGTGCCCATATTTAGACTTACAATAAAAATGCTGTCCAGCAATTTTTAGTTTTGGATGCTCATTATACAGAAGAAAAACATCGTGATATTTGACTTATTTTCAGCATTACGGATTCTGTTTTAGTCACAAAATGGCATCTGGGCTACATGTGTGCACTTTCAGCATTGCTTGCTCTAAATGTCACTTTGGTGATGGCATTTATGCACCCATTAAGAACACAATCCAGAAGTGACATCTGGCATGCAACATTGATTTCACACAAATGGCACAAGTTATCACCTCAAATTTCCAGCAAATGTGATCTTTTAACCTTGTACACTGAAAACGTAGTCAAAGCTCAACAGACCTCCACCAGCATTACTTAAAGTGACCATCAACTACTTTCAGATTAGTAGCTGCCTGGTATCTTCCTGAGTTTGCTGAAGTGATGTGAATTTTCTACTGCTGTTTAAATTCAATGAACAAATACGAACTGCCTAACAATGATTCACCTGAAAGTATGAATTGCATTTTCTAGCTCACCACAACTTGACAATGAAAGCCATCCAAGCTAATGACAGTTCAAGATTAATTAAAGACAATGGATTAACTAATATGGAAGCACGAAGTGACAATTTTAGGATAGCAGCCTTTTTAATCAGCATAAGACAGTCTGTAAGCAAACATTTTAGGCAGAACCTTCCACCACCTCCAATAAGAACTCTGAGAAGCAATAGTGAGAGTTCTCAACTATAGGGAACAGAAACGGGAAGGAATATAGAAATCAACTGCTGTTCTGCAAAGTCTTCGAATCTGCAAATGCTACAAATACAGATCTAGTGAGGAACAAGAAACATGCTCTCTTTTCTCTTCAAATCCTGCTGATCTGCTGAGTCCACCTGTGCAGGCAAGATACAACAGGTATAATAAGTATCTTCACAATTTCTTGCACAAAGATCTCCTTTTCCTTAGCCTGAGGCTTGCCCTTTAAGCCACTTCCAGAACCATAACATTTTTCTCTCAACTAACACCATCACCATTCACCCAATTACAGTTTGTGGTGATTAACTGTACATGTATTTTATCAGAAATAGCATTGTTGTCCTATCGAATTGTGCACATATAACAATGTACCTCAAGAAAGCCAGAATTAGAATTTGCTGTTGTGAGAAATAAACATGAATTTCAGAGATAGATACCCATAACTTTAGAGATTTATACAAGAAAGCCGTGTGGTTGCATTTTCAATCAGACTCACTTGTAAATTTTCAGTTAACTTTCCCAAAATAGTACATTTGATGACTCAGAATTGTCCCTCAATCATGGACTGAATATTTATTATACAAATAGGGTTGATAGATTAGCCGGTATTGCAACCTTATTTGCATTATATACATAAATATGCTAATTGTAGCAATGCTATTACCAATCACTCAATGATGGTAATTTAGTTTAAGTGAATTTTGACGACTAATGTGTTCTGTTATAAAGCAGAATATGGATGAATTAAACTAAGTGAGCCCACATTATGCATGCAGGTCATTTTAATTATAAGGATACTCATTACTAACAAATAGTAATATCTTTTAAGTAGGCAGAGTAAATTGGCATTGAAATGTATTTTAACTTTATACCCATTATTTGAATGGAAAGGTGAAACTATGCCAGTTCTGAGCACTCAGCTGAATTACAAAAACAATTGGGATAAATTATCCTATGTGGCTGAATCTTATTTCTATTTTGGCTAAGAATTGCGTTCAGTTTTTTGGTGCGATTCTTGTCACGAAAACTACCGAGACCTTTCACCATATTTTACTAAAAACACCTCACTGATTATTTAAGACAACAAGGTGCAGGGCTGGATGAACACAGCAGGCCAAGCAGCATCATAGGAGCAGAGAGGCTGACGTTTCGGGCCTAGACCCTTCATCAGAAAAGCTTGGGTCTA